TGTATATATATGTATATAACTGCACAAGGCTTTATCTGTTCAAATTAATATGATGTTATTGTGTCTTTTTTAGGAGGGATGATTGTGAATAGATTAAAATATTTTCAAACGCTAACAAGAAAAGTGATGTTTCGTCCTAATGAGAAAGTAAAAAGTAAAAACTTGTCCATGTCCTTCACAGCCTTCATTCAACATGTAGACATTGTAAACAAAAAAAAAAACGGAAATTGTGTTCCACTTCATAGCAGTGAAAGTTATTATCAAATGTAAAGTCCCCAAAGGAGACATAAGAGTGCTGTAATATCAAAGAGTCAATAGAAGAAAGTAATGTGAATTATGTACATGTCTGTGTGCTGACCTGCTTTAGAAGTTCTGAAGCGGTGCGATAAGAACAGTCAAAGATAATAAAAAACTCTCTGTCTTTCTTCAGTTCCTTGAGCAGCGGCCGAGCATCTTGGTTACCCGGGGTGAGCTGGCGGATCCTGATCTTTAAGTTTAACTTTGCTGGGGCCTTGATCAACTCCTGCATCCGCATTAGACCTTAAAGAAATAAAATAAATCTTATTATTTTCTCTGATATGTTTCCCTCTTCTTTGAAGCTCTTGGAGGATGATTTATGAAAGAATATTTCATAGTTTTGGAGCTATCAGTATTTATTTTCAAAGCGCAGCCTGAGAGCAGTTGATGTAGTAATCCTTGAGCTTGGCTCTGTTGTATTTAAATGAGTTTCTCTCAGAGTGCAAAACTCAGGATGTAAAGTATTTAAACCAATTCAGACATTTTGCAATTCACTGTTAATTGTAATCATCAATACACTTCTAATCCTTTGGGTACTTTTCGCTGCATTACTGGGAGATGCACAATCTCCATTTCTTTAACTTTGTGAAGAAAAAATATGTTTCCAGAATTGCAGGTCCCTAATTATTTACAATCCTGCTCTGCTCCTGATGAACTGCTTTGCTCTTTGTGGTAATGAGCTGGTTGCACCTGTGTTTTTAGTTTAACGCAGTTTTAGAATCTCATGCACAGAACTGTCGAAGCTCACAGTTGTTGTTTGTGATTGCAAATGGACTCTGTTTTCCACAGCCTACTAAATCTGCCACCCAAAGTTTAGCATATTGCTGAAATCATTTTTATTACATACAAAAGTGTGCAGAACCCTTGCAAAAAATGCCTTTTGTATCTAAAAATCATTATTTATAAGTGTGATTTGCTGAGATATCTGCAAATATACATTAAAAAATGGGTATTTAAGGAAAAAGCTTGACAAGCAGCAGCTATTCTACAACAAAGTTACAAGAATAGAACAGAGCTCTTTCATAAGCTTAGTGAACAAATTCAACCTTGTATTCATCAATTTGCTCTCAGTGTTTATAAGTATAAAATACGTCATGGCAACAAATAAGTAATCAGAAAATGGGTTCACTGTTAGCGTGTCTGTGTGTTGAAGAAAAAACAATAGTTCAGCCCTGAGTTTCTACAGTTTATATGCCAGAATGAATCATCACGTGCACGATAAAAGGCTCAAAAATGAAGAGAAAACACTTCTGGGAAAATGATCACGTATAAAGATGGGAATAAAAAATAAAGAATGTGAGGAAAAGACAGTGTAATGTTTAAATAAACACTTTGACAGAACCTTCAAAAAGCCTGAAGAATTATAGATTAAACAAACATAAAAAATGGCTTATTTGGGAAAAAAAAAGGGTTGCATGAGTTATTAAAAGTTTTTAAGTTATGCCACGTTATTTGTATCTCAGTCTTGTTCAGCTTTTTTTTTGTTTGTTTATTTTTTATTAACCTTTATTTAAGCAGACAAATCCCACTGAGGTCACAGATCTCTTTAGAATAATATGTGATAATTAAATAATATATTATTTCAAGATGTGTTGACTTTGTTGTGTAATAAGACTAATTTCTTCTACAAGCAGTACGCTGATGTCCCTCATCGCTGTAGGATTTAAATAGTGAGTGTTTGTAGTTTTTGATATGAGTGTTTTTCTGGACTCGAACAGAGAATGTAAGTAAATGTTAATGTTTCTGGTACAAGATGTTCAAGTGGGTAGGAGTTACACTGTGTACAAGAACAGTTTGTTTTTTTTTCTTTTCTGAGGGGGCGCCGAGTGACGGATCCTGACTAGCAGAGGGAGCAATTTTATCCATGACCAGGCGCAATGGCGGAGCCAGGGGGGGCCAGTTGTGGCCTAGGTCACCATGGATTAAATTTCAGCTACCCCATTGGCTACCACAAGGTTCAAGGTTCTTTACTGCCATTCGTATCACATGTGGTACATGAGGTGGAATGAAATTGTGTGATAAAGGTACAAGGTACACAATCCATCCATTATCTTTAACCGCTTTTGCCTTTTCGACTCATGTGAGTCACTGGTGCCCATGTCCAGCAGTCACTGTGTGAGAGGCGGGGGACATCCTAGACAGGTCTCCAGTCCATCACAGGGACACATAGACACAAACGAGACAAACAACCATTCACTCTCTCGCTCACACCTAAGGACAATTTAGAGTTACCAATCAGCCTAACATGAATGTATTTGGTCTGTTAGATGAAACCGGAGTACTCGGAGGAAACCCACGCATGCACAGAGAGAACATGCAAACTGCACCCAGAAAGATCCTGGGCCAGGATCTGAAGCGGCGACCTTCTCGCTGAGAGGCAACAGCTCTGAGCCACCAGGCCACGCCACTACAATCATTTGAGGAAATTATATTTTTAAGCAGTGTAAAACTAGAAAGCATAGTTTCCTCAAGTGATTGGGATGGATACATATAAATATAGTGGTGGCCATCTTGGATTTTGACATGGCAACCCAATTTTAGATAGGAGCCTGTCTTATACCTAGATGCAGCCAAACACTAAAATGGCTGTTGTCACGTTTCTTTTATTCAAGTTCTCCAGCTCACAAGACGTACACAGGATGTTTCCAGTTCCCGCTTTGCTCCGCAGCGCGAGACATGTATAAAATGGAGGCTTATATTTGCCATTATTTCCTGTGAGAGATTCTGCCTTTGCGATTTATCAGGAAATATAAATTATGATTTAAAAAAATCCTAAATATGTAATCGCTGACATTTCAAAAGCAAAATTTCACAGATGCTCATGACAAGACGTCTGAGCAGGAAGGCAGAGGATTTAAGGCAAGCAGTGATTCAGTTTGGTTCTTCGCTTCAGGCTGGATTGGCTGGTTGATATGAAAAGGTGGTGACCTCTCATAGATTGGGTTCAGTGAGCAGCACGAAGGAAGAAAGTTTGGAAAAAAGAATCATATTGTGTAATTATAACCATGACTTGTGAAAGACTGGAGAACTTTTATATTTCCTCTGTCCCACTTTTGCATTGCATGTTTAAAATGATGTCTTCAGTCACCTTGCAGTATATTCATTTGGTATCAGCTGTCCTTTTATCAAAAATATTCAGAGAAAACCTTCTAACCTGTGAGTTTACACCCAATATATATTTTTTTTAATGCATGGAACAATCTAATAAAACTCACATCATTTACTTATTCATTAGTTATATCAATTAGTTATGTTAAATATATAAATGGCCCTACCAGTGCTGTCCTCATAGACCACTGTCAGTTTCCTCCATTTGAAAAATGTCACCACGTCCAGGATAGCTCTGGCAATGGCGGTGTACTCAGGATAGAGGTTGATGAAAAAAGTGTCCTTGTTGTCCACTGATGGGTGCTTCCAGCGAGTCTGGATGTGAGGGACTTCCAGGGCGTTGCAGATGGACTGAACCGCGCTAACAGAGGAGCTGTGAGAGGGGCCGAACACGGCAATCACCCCAAGAGTCAGCTGGTCACACACTGGTTAGAAGAAAGAAGAAAATTATATAAAAGATTAATTGATTAAACAAGGATTGCACACCTTAAAGAGATAGTTGAGATCTTCTCACATGTTTTGGGGGAAGCTTAGGAACATATTATTGTGCATGCTGCACAGGTAGGATGATCATTGTAACAGAGGATGAATGTTGGCACAAGGTGTTAGATATCTCACCTCTTCTTGAAGCTTCAAAGCCATCAAAGATGTTGACTCGCTGGATGTCGTAGGTGAGGGTCGCGTTGGGCATCAAAGTCTTGTTGCGGTTTATGTTGTTTACAGCAAACTTGAAAGCCAGCTCATCCATACTCACTAACTCACTTTCCCTGGTCTCAAAAATGCCACCTGAGCATGAAAAATGATGAAAAGCACACACAGGGTTCAAAACAGGAGCGTAAATAAAGGAGGGTCGGGGGAGGGGGGGGGGGGGGGGGGGGGCATACCAAAATCAATTATAACACGTTCTGAAGAAAAACAAGTTTATTGTGTGGCTTTTTCTCAGTTTGGTTTATTTTATTTTATTTTTTTATCATAGGCACAGTACTAATTCTAAGGCCTTATTCTCGGATACTAAGGTTCTGAAACTTTTCTTAATGAGCACCACCTCAGAAAACGCAGAACATTTCAAGTGCAACTCTTATGACATTCATTAAAATACAGTACTAGAAGATTACAAACTCGTACTGTAATTTTTTTGAATATCTGACCAAGCAAACTGACTGATCTATTTGCATATCTGCTCTAAAAGCCAAACTTTTACAGCAGTTGACATTGGACACAGCTGTGATTGAGGCGTCCTCCAATGCAAGAATTGGGGTTTCGACCACCAGCAGTCACATGCTGAAGTGTCCCTGGGCAAGACACTGAACCCCTTATTGTCTCCGATATGTGTCCCATCGGTGTATGAGTGTGATCTAAAGCACTGATTATTCTTTGTACAGACATAGTAGAGTGCTGTATAAATGGGGAAATGAGGGCACAGATTGTAGTGTAAAGCGCATTGCATATTTTGACAAAATAGATATATTTTCCGGTGTATAAGTTGCATCAGTCAAAAAAGCATCATGAAGAGGAAAAAAATATATATGTCGCTTCAGTGTATAAGTCACATTTATTATGTGTCACCGCTGACCCCCGGGAAACGTGGGCCAGTGTCGAGCCAAAAATTGATTGGCTGCCAAAAATTGATTGGCGACTGCAGGAGTGTGCACGGGAAGACTCTCTGGACTCGCCGCGCTGCCCAGGTGAAATGAAGCTGTTTTGACCCTGAGCAAATAGACATGTTTGCTCCAGGTGTTCCCCTCAGCTCTGTCGCCGCAGCGGGGATGAAGGTGGCTCGCGGCTCCGGCCGTGAGCTCTACAGCATCCCCCACCGCCTTGCTGCTTCCCGGGGCCACGGATCATGCACTTCACTACCCCCTTCCTCCCGGCTCGGGCGGCGGAGGAACGTTGAAGAGTTCGCCGCACAGATCTCTTTTAAAGGGAGCCCTTTTGTAATTGGTTTATTTACAAGTATACATGCTCAAGGTGCAGGAGCATCATTAGAAGATAGGAGATGGTGAGTTTAAAACTGCATAGATCAATTTCTACCAGGACGGTAGATTATCTTCTCTAACTGTATTGTTCACAGGCTTGGAGAGGAGCGCAGAGGAGGTATCAGGAGTACCAGGAGGACAACAGAGATCTCCAGGGAGGCAGGTTAGTGGTCATTTGAAGAGTCATAAAGATAAGGCTGAGTTGATGAGGTATGGGTTTTGGTTCTTACAGCATTTGTAGATTTGGACTCCAAGGCAGGGGTTCTCAGGTGGAGGCAAGGAGACACCAGGAGACTAAATACTGGGATGAAGGTAACCAAAGGCTTGAGGCAGGAGTCAACTGCAAGGGCCACAGAGTAAACGACTAATGCCAGGGCTATAGCGGGTAAAATATAATAGATGGATGGAAAGACTGAATCAATATTTGGTAATCAATGTTCCAGCATTGGGTTCTAATCAAACTGAGCATTATATGCCAGTGGAGCATCATCAGCTGCCACTCAGGAGCTGCAAGAAGTGGTAAAGGCAGACAACAATGGAATCCTTACACGAATCAGGTTTGTTTAATTCACTGAATATCTGTAATTTATATACCACTCAAACAACAACCAAAACAAAAAGAAAACAACACGGACGGAGCATTTTTGGCTAACTGTGTCAATGTCAATTGTATATCGCCCATTAAAAACAACAAAGACTGACTAAAGTGCTTTCCAGTTCAGTCAAATGAAAATGTAAAACTACAGTAAGAACAAGAAAACACAAGTAAAAGTTAATATAAAAACGCCAACATATCAACACCATCATGGGCTAGGTCCAATTATCTACCCACCTATATGGAAGTATGAATATTCACAAATAACCTTTCACAACCTTTCAACAGTTTCAGCACAAGGTTAGACAGAGCATGTCCAGATAAAATATAAAAGAAAAGCCCAGAAGCAGCACGAGAGAGTTACATCCTGGAAAGGTTGCCAAGGGACAGCGTCTTATCTCTAAAGAACATTGACAGAAATTGGGTCACACTCCAGGACATGGAACACAAGGGCAGCTGCAAATCTGCAACAGTCTATAAAATAATTAATTAATTAATTAATTTAATAAGTGTAGCCATGGTCCAGCTGAAGTCCAGACCTTTATCTGACTGGAATATTACTGCATTAACTTGAGAGCTCGGCATAAGAGGATGCCAACAAACTATGATGAACTGAAACAGAGATGGGAGTGGACCAAGGTGATGTCAGTTTGAGAAACAATAAAGTCATTTTTAACATTTTTAGTTCAAGTTATTGCTGCTAAAGGAACATCTACTGGTAATTAATTCACAAATTTGACTCAAAGGGAAACACAGCTTCTCTTTTTGAGTTTTTTTTTTAAGTAATATATATGTTTTGTGTTTTTGATCAACTAGGTGTGTAGTTACATCATTTTATGATCTGATGAAGAACCGAAATGGTTTTTTTTTATGTCTCAAAACATTTGAACCTTAATTAAAAAGAGATGTATCATATCTTTGCAATGACTACATAAAGGTGTCAGTAATAAACTCGATTAAAGACAACCGGTGGTTACATTTGTTGTTAAAATTATTTTAAAAAATCAGCAGTAGTAATACAGCTAATGTTGAAAACTTGCTGGCTCTTTCCAAACAGCTGCAAAACCAGTTCCTAAACTGTATTTTTTAAAACCTTAACAAAGGCAGTGTTCTCCTATAAGATCCCGTAGCTGCAAAACAGCCTGTTTAACTGTTGCTAAGTCGAAGTCAAAGCAAAATGGCACAAAGAACATGTATTAATTTTTATTTAAAAACAAGTACAAAGTAAAATATAATTAAAATGCATAGTTTATATTGCTAACTACAATTTTGTTTGCACATTTCTTATAAGTTTTGTCATATTTAAAAAAAAAACATAATAGATCGAACAATTACTCACTACTGGTCATTAATGGACTACGTGGTCATTAATGTAAACTTTTTCCAAAAATTACGCTTCATTTTATGAAATAATTCATACATATTGTCTCCTTTATTTGGTCTCAAATGGTGCAGTAGTGTGTATAATCTAAATATCTAAATGCATAAAGATGTTACTGAAAAGGTCATAAATATATTAAGCATTTAGCTTTCTTCCAAGACAGTAAATGCTGAGAATGATTGTGTTTTTCTTCTCAAAGGGAGAAAAGGTTTTAGATGCAAATGTAGATTCACTTTGATTTTTACAGACTCAAGACTACATCCAACCTGCTGCACGGCCCAGCTGTCAGAACTCTTTGAAGAAACAATGCTGTTACGTCAGAGTGGTGAAACTGCCTGCAGACTCCTCATCTGCACGCTGTCATCCTGCAGCAGACGATGTAATGTGGGATCAAAAGGCCAGATGAAATGGGGGTAGCATAATTGCTCATATTGCATTAAAGGAAAAGGAAAAAAAAACTTTAACAGCTCTATGCTGACTTTTAAAACAGATGTTTTTGTAAGATGAGTCAGTACCAATTAGTAATTGTCTTTTTTTGGTTTTGGCACTCTCTAGTCTTCTCTGTAGAAAGTTTGTTCAGTTTGATAAACTGCTAACTCCTAAATTTATACTGTCTTTTTCCTGGTACATTGAACGCATCATAACGACTTCAGCTGCTAAGTTATTATTATAGTTATGTAGTTATATTGTATATACAGTTATTTTAGTTAGAAATCAAATAAACCCCAAATAACTAGAACATTATTCTAACTGTCACACCCAAGAGCAGGTCTAACCTTAGTTCCCTAAGTGTCTTACATATTTATTGGTTGGATTAAATAAGTTACTTTGGGAGAAAAAAATTATACTTGGAACAGCATTCTTAGAAAGTATAAATTATTAAAGGCTGCAGTATTTGTATAATCAAATGTTATGAGTTTCACTTGTGTTAATTAAATGTTGGAGAATGTTTTAACTCTGTGCCAAAAACTATTCTTGATTTGAATTATTACTCATACTTAAAGCAATGGCCCAAATCTGAGTCGCTGATTTAATTCTGGTTGCTGTTCCAAAATCTATATCTAAACCAAAAATATGAAATTAATATTTTGTCAGACAAAAAATAAATAAAATAAAATCAGTCAAAAAAAAATCACACCCTGGCCGCCATCACTAATGACATAGGCTATTTAAAAGCCTGATCAGTGAAGCTCCATAACCTTTGTAAACAAAGTGCTAGATGATTGTGGCAACAAATGGTTTGAATTTCCAGGGATTTACCAGCATGTGCCATTCACTTACAGAAAAAGGCATGAGAGAGGTATGAGAAGAGCAGAAAGGTATGAAAAATGTTGAAGAACGCTACCAAAACTTTGTTCTGTGCATTCTTGATAAATAAAAAGTTTTGTTTTGTAACGGAGCGGCACGGTGGAGCAGTTGGTAGAGCTGCCACCTCTCAGCGAGAAGGTCACCTGTTCAAATCCCGGCCAGGGGGCCCTGCTGGGTGGAGTTTGCATGTTCTCTCCATGTATGTGTGGGTTTTCTACGGGTTCTCCAGTTTCCTCCCACAGACCAAAAACATGCATGTTAAACTGATTGGTAACTAAATTGTACCTATAGGTGTGAGAGAGTGAATGGTTGTTTGTCTCTATGTGTCCCTGTGATGGACTGGAGACCTGCCCAGGGTGTCCCCCGCCTCTCGCACAGTGACGGCTGGACATGACCCAAAAAGAAAGAAGCAGGTAAAGATAATGGATGGATGATCTGTAATGTGATTTGGACAGTTAAGATCTTGCAGAAAATGTAAATTAGGTGCAACGTCTGTCATAGCAATGATGATGAATGATGTAATCTTGTTTTTTTTTTTACAATGAACAAAACCACTTTTCCAATTTTTTTATGAATTTGCCATCAAGCATATACTGTATACAACAAACAGGCTGAATTAAAGTGTTCACAAAGTGACCCCCCCCACACACACACACACACACACGCACACACACACACACACACACATACACATGGGGCTGTTCAGGTTCTAATATTACATAACAGTCAATATAAAACATAATATTATGAGCCAACTGATCAGCAGGCAGCTGTAAAGAACCCTGTGCCATAAAATAATAGATGTGTGTTTCAGACTGATGGATGACTGTTTCTCTGCCTTTAGACTAAGACAGAACACCAAAGAACCAGTATATGAATTGTGATCTTATAAGAGATCTCTAATATAAACTCATCTGGGTCTGAATGTTTGGAAAATCTCAACTCATTTATCTTTCATTTTACTATTTAATAACAAATATTCATGTTTGACATGAGTTCATTTGTCATCTCTTCTTGTTGAACAGCTTCAGCTGCGCAGTTAAATTTAAAATCAAGAATTTTTTTTTTCAGACAGATACATTATGTACCTAAGAGCACTAAAAGCTTTTACTGAACTCCCAAAGAATGATGAGCAATTTGCAACAAGAACACACATTAAGTTTGTAAATCTTCTGGGTTTGGATTTTCTGGACTCGTGTTGTTCAAAGGATCTGAACTGAACGACTGAAGCTGAATGGGTGTTCATGAACGGCCCTAAATATTAATACATGACCCAGAGTTAAACCCCTCACCATAAATCCTCTGCGTGTACCGCAAACACAAAAGAATAGTCTGTTTGTGATGAGAGGAATCTAACACATGGACCAAGGCAGGTCAAGACAGTTTGGGTTAAATTCAAACAATATCTCCCCATGTTCATTTTTCCCCTTCTTTTTCTTTTATTTTAATTTTTGTGAAAACATAACTATTTAAAATTAAAGGTTACAGGAAAAAAAATCTGATGTAGAGCCTCTGCAGCTGAGCTGTGAAACCAAAGAAATTGTCCATTTTTATACTGAGTCAAAACATGTTTACAAGTCACTAAACTATTTTTAAGATTTGTTGATTTTATTTATGTGAGTTTGTTTAAAAAATTATTATTATATATTCAAAAAATAATAATCTTGTGACTCAAAAGCATGTGTTCTACTATTCAAATGTCATATTCACTATATTGTCCAGTGTTGGGCACTTACATTTGCATGTGTGTGTGTGTGTGTGTGTGTGTGGGGGGGGGGGGGGGGTCTGGTTGTTAACCAATTTTTGGAGTCAATTCACCTGAAGATGGCTGCCACAGCTATTTAATCTAAGAAAACACAAACAGGGTCATCACACAGGTGTTGAGTTTAAGGTCATTTTGTTGTGGTAGTAGCTGAGAGTCATGTCCAGCGCACACACGCAGGTTATTGAAGATCAAAAAGTTTGGCACGCAAAGTTCATTCAAATAAATCATCAAAATATGTCACAACTTCTTGCAGCATGTTGTGCTCTTCCTGTTGGCACTGACATTATTCTATATTTCATCGTTTAACATATTTTTTGGACTATAAAATGCATTTAAAATCCTTTAATTTTCTCAAAAATCAACAATGAGCCTTATAATCCGATGCACCTTATGTATTAATTCTGGTTGTGCTTACTAACCGGCGCTCAAAAATCGGTCAAAATGTTTTAGTTTCGCTTAATGCGCCTTATAATCTGGTGTGCCTTATAGTCG